GGGCTCAATCTCACAACCCTGAGATCATGACGTGAGCTGAAGTCAATAGCTGGTTGCTTCACTGACTGAGCCATGGTAAATTCCTTTTTAAAAAATATATATTTTTTTATTTATTTGAGAGAAAGAGAGAGAGAGGAGAGAGAGAGTGCACACACGAGCAGGGGGAGAGGGAGAGGGAGAAGCAGGCTCTCTGCTGAGCAGGGAGCTCGAGGCGGGGCTTGATCCCAGGACCCTGAGCTCATGATCTGAGCCAAAGGCAGACATTGAACTCACTGAGCCACCCAGGTTAAGTTAAATTCCTTTTAACTTAAGTTTTTATGTCATGCCTTTGAAAGAGTCTTGACTAGTATGACGTCTCCCAACCTCTGCTGCACACTTGTCCCTGTCTGCTCTTAGTCTGCTTCCCCATCTCCTTACCTGTCCTGCAGGAGAACCAGCTGACCCTAAGATGTCAGAATTAACTAGTCACTCCCATCCTGAGGAGCAAAGGGGAAGGCATGACACCCCCCAGTCATGGTCCGTTGTTGTCCTTTGAGGCGTGAGTGGAGCAATCAGCTAAAAATCAGTTATGTGGTTAAAGATTTTATTTTTATTTTTGGATTGCTAGCAACCAACCCAAACTGACTTTGGCTAATGTAAGCCAGAGACAGAGTTTATTGGAAGCATCACAGGCTTCCCCCACAGAATCAAAGACAGAGCTGGGACAAGCTGAGCAACAACAGACTTGGGGAAGGCAAGCAATCAGAGCCATCCTGGGGAACTTCAGCAGGCTTTCATCGAAATCCTCTCTGGGCTGACCACAGACATGGTGCGCTCTTGGTTCCAGCTTGAAATGGCTGGGAGATGGAATACGTTTTAAGGATGAGGGTGAAGTGAGATGAGCCTCTTGGCCTTGGTTCCTGGGAGGAACCTGGTTCCTGCATATCAGAGAGGCTTGGTGGCCCACCAAGAAGGGTCAGCCAGACCTCTCTGAGGGTGGAGCCATCCCTGGGCTTCTCCAAGCTGCTCGAGGTCCCCAGGTGATGAAGAACAACCTCTGCAGGACCTCACTGCTTCTAAGACCCAGGGAGAGCTGGGGAGATGCTTCCCTTGGTGCTTTTGGCTTTCAGGACTCACATTGGCCCAGACTCTGCCCATCAGGGGTCTCTCTGACATCTTTATTTTTTTAAGATTTATTATTTATTTATTTGACAGAGAGAGAGAGAGAGAGAGAGAGAGAGAGAGAACAGGAACACAAGCAGGGGGAGTGGAAGAGGGAAAAGCAGGCCTCCCCGCGAGCAGGGAGCCCGACACGGGGCTCGATCCCAGGACCCTGGGATCATGACCTGAGCTGAAGGCAGATGCTTAACGACTGAGCCACCCAGACGCCCCTCTCTGACATCTTTAATCTTTATCCCTTTTCTCCTGGTCTCTGCTGTTCATACCTTTCACTCTGCTTTCTTCCCTCTTCCAAATGCCCCTGCTCCTACAGACTAAATATTTGTGTCCCCTGGAAATTCATGTTGAAACCTGATCCCCAGGGTGGTGGTATTGGGAGATGGTGTCTTGGGGAGGTGATTAGGTCATGAGGGTGGAGCTCTCGTGAAGGGGATTAGTGTCCTTATAAAAGAGACTCTGGAGAGATCTCTTGCCCCTTCCGCCTTGGGGGAATATAATAAAAACATTGCTGTCCTTTCCCCCTCAACCCTCTTGCCAATTTAGCTTTTCCCTTGGACTTCCCTATTTCTTTCCCCATTCTCAGATTCTTCCTAGGTTCAAGAAGTGGGCTCTCACCAGACACCTAATCTCTGAGAAATATACTTCTGTTATTTGTAACAGAACTACACTCAGTCTAGAGGCACCTGGGTGGCTCAGTAGTTAAGCGTCTGCCTTCGGCTCAGGTCATGATCCCAGGGTCCTGGGATCGAGCCCCACAACGGGCTCCCTGCTCAGCGGGAAGCCTGCTTCTCCCTCTCCCACTCCCCCTGCTTGTGTTCCCTCTCTCGCTGTGTCTTGCTCTGTCAAATAAATAAATAAAATCTTTAAAAAAAAAAAGAACTATACTCAGTCTATAGTATTTTTTTAAAGATTTTTATTTATTTCTCAGAGAAAGAGAGGGAACACAAACAGGGGGAGCGGCAGGCGGAGGGAGAAGCAGGCGCGGGGCTTGATCCCAGGGCCCTGGGATCATGACCTGAGCCGAAGGCAGTCGCCTAACCTACTGAGCCACCCAGGCATCCCATCAGTCTGTAGTATTTTGTATAGCAGCCTGAATGGACTAAAACACCACCCTTAAAAAAAAAAAGATTCTTATTTAAAGAATAATTATTCAAAAATAATTATTCAAACAGTACCAAAGATTTTTCAGTGAAAACTGTCTTTTTTCCCACCCTAGCTTACGTCTATATATAGATATATATCTATATAGGTCTATATACCTACTATTCTACTTGTTTGTTTGTTTTTTTTCAAGTAGTCTCCTCGCTGGGCTTGAACTCACAACCATGAGATCAAGATCTGAGCTGAGACCAAGAATCAGATGCTGAACGGCCTGAGCCACCCAGGCACCCCTGCCTACTATTTTATTTGTAAACACAGCAGAAGAGATTACACACATGCTCAGTAACTTGCATTTTCCACTCAGTGATGTATCGTTCATATGAGAACACATCTGGCGCATTCTTTCTGATGGCTGCATAGTCTTCCACCCCAAGTCCGCATTGATGGATGGGCTTTTGTGAATACAAATGATGAGGCAGCAAATATCCTTGTGCACCTTACATTAGGCACCTGAGCACACACACATCTGTTGGAAACAATTGTGCTTCTTTTCCCAAGAGTTGGCAAAGCTTTCTTCTTCTGGTTTCTACCAGACTTCCCAGGCATGGCCCACATTGGCTGCTTCTCTTTCTCTCAACTCCTTAAGTACTTACAATATGGCTTCTACCCACAAACATACTCAAGGCGCACCAGTGACCTCCTTCCTTAGTACATCACTTCTGACTTTTCTGTAGAATTTGACCTCACTGCCCATCCTGTCCTGAAACTCTCCTTGTTTGGCTGTTATGGTGGATGATCTTCATCTTCCCATTTCCCTAAGCGTGATTTTCCTGGGACCTTTGTCTGCCTTATTGTCTGGCAGGAGCTTGAGGGAGTGGAACCTGCTGGGTTAGCTCTTGATCCACACCCATTTACCTCACTGCCTGGACTCCCAGAGGAATGGGAGGTTTTGATCAAAATCTGAATTCACAATCTCTTTTAGGCTCAAACCCTTCATTAAAAAAAAATAGTGTTGTTTTTAATTCCCGCATTTTATGTTATCATCATCACTATCTTAATATTTATTATGTACCATTTAAAAAATATGAAAAGGTGTGGGGGCACCTGGGTGGCTTAGTTGGTTAAGCATCTGACACTTGATATTGGCTCAGGTCTCGATCTCAGGGTTGTGAGTTCAAGCCCTGAGTTGGGCTCCACGCTGGGTGCGGGGCTTAAAAAAAAAATATGAAAAGATGTCAATAGTAACAAAGAGTACAACAAAAGAATAACACAACAAATACCAATGTATCCACCACTCGGCTTAATAAAATGTGACCAACACAACTGGGGCTCTTTTGTACCCTCCCTGCACCCCAGAGATTACACTGAATTTGGAGTTTGTCATTTTCTTGCATTTTAACTGAGTCCTGAATTTCTGACTGACCTCTCCGGATGTCTCTATATGGGTATCCCACTTAGTATGGCTAAAAGCTAACGCAAGTGATTCCATTTATGTAAAAAGGAAAATGCGTTTGCCCTATCATCTATCTATTTATCTATCATCTAGCCTCAGAAATCCTTCCAGAAAGATCTATATTAGAGGTTGACCAAACAGAACACAGCAGCAAGCCTGTTTGCAACTTCTGTTAGACATCAAAATGTTAATTATTTCTGGATGCTTGGACTATGGATAGTTTTTCTATCTGCTCATTTGTGTTTTCTAAATTTTCAACAGTGGAGCATGAATTACTTTACTACTAATGCCCCAAATCTATCTTCCCCTCAACCCTCTTACCAATTTAGCTTTTACCCCAGACATCCCTATTTCTTTTTTTTTTTAAAAGATTTTATTTATTTATTTGACAGAGAGAGACACAGTGAGAGAGGGAACACAAGCAGGGGGAGTGGGAAGAGGAGAAGCAGGCTTCCCGCTGAGCAGGGAGCCCAATATGGAGCTTGATCCCAGGACCCTGGGATCATAACCTGAATCGAAGGCAGACGCTTAACGACTGAGCCACCCAGGCGCCCCATAGACATCCCTATTTCTGTTGGAATTCTGCAATTCTTCACAGGTCCAAAACCTGGGAGGCATGCTTGATGCCCTTTTCCCTGTTTCACATTCCATTAGTTCTTACTACACCTTGTGGTTGAGTGGATTTCTATCTCCCCTGTTAGATTTTCTTATTTTTTTAAAAGATTTTATTCATCTATTTGACAGAGAGAGAGAGAGAGAGAGAGAGAGAGAGAGAGAGAGAGAGAGCCCAAGCAGGCAGAGAGGCAGGCAGAGGGAGAGGGAGAAGCAGGCTCTCTGCCAAGCAGGGAGCCCAATTCGGGACTCGATCCCAGGACTCCGGGATCATGACCTGAGCCGAAGGCAGCCACTCAACCGACTGAGCCACCCAGGCGCCCCTCCCCTGTTAGATTTTAAGTTCTTAAGGGGCACAGACTTTGTCTCCCTGGGGCGCATCACACAGCACAGCTCAAAAACAGATGGTCCAGAAGTGGTTATTGAACCTTTCTGCCTGATGCGTCAGGCATGTCTGCACACCTTGCAACTATCACCTGGCTTATTTATAGAAATTTCCTCTATAAATAAGTGGTTTCTGTTTCAGGTATGGTTTGCCCTTGATATTTACACTCCATCTCTGACCCTACCCCAGCCTCAAACTTAGAAACTGGAATTAGAGCTGGTATTCAAATCCTTAGCCACAGTACAAGTAGCCAGCCCCTCGTAGGAACTAAGTCATAGTTGTGAAGTTCTTTTTTTCCCCTTGACATTCTAGCTGCTGTCAGTACATTTGCTGGGGAATTCCTGACGAGATTTTACTTGTCCTTCCATGCTGTTCTTTCTGGGGTTTCCTTGTTTCTTTTTGTGATCCCGTTCCAGATGGCTCAGCAGTGCATCCAAAATGAGTATTTTGACAAATTGCTTACTGCTTGCAAACCGTGTCACCTTCGATGTTCTAATACCCCTCCTCTACCTTGTCAGCGTTATTGTGATGCAAGTAAGTAATACTGCTTGAACAATTAATTCATTGGTGTGACCTATTTTCTCTACATTGACTATTTATTCGACGAATAGACATTATGGGGAAGAGGGTGAGATCTCCTGAATCAAAAAGAGAAAGGAAATAAGGCAAGTATTTAAATGCCAACAGGAGCAAAGTAATTACTCAGAACTGAACTCAATTTTATTCAGCGCTGTTAGCAACATAGATTTTATCAACTCTTCTAATTAAGTGTTATTTAGAATTTACAAGTCAATGCTGATGAATTAAGGGAATTGGATGGTAAATAATCTTTACTTGATGTGGATATTATGTTGTCAGTTCATTATCTCTCTGATATTCTTTTCATTCAGTGAAAGAAACGAATACAATTCTCTGGACCTGTTTGGGCCTGAGCTTGATCGTTTCTTTGACAGTTTTCGTGTTGATGTTCTTGCTAAAGAAGATGAATTCAGAACCATCAAAGAATGAACGTAAAAACACAGGTTGGTTTGATGTTTAGTCTTGGAAATCTATTTCCAAGAGGTCGCTATTGTGAATTTCAGTTCCTTTTCGCGGGCACCCTCTCTCTCTTTTTTTCCCCATGTTGAGTGTTTCATTTGGTTAGAGCCCTTTTGAGTGTGTTAGAGGACAGTTGTGTTAAAAGAACTTTTGGGAAGGAGCAAGCTGTCTTCTTTTTGGTTTGCAGGTGCCCCACAGAGCCATACTTCCCCCACATTCTTCACTCAGTAATTACTTTTCTGAAGTACTGAGGCTTCCTTGGCAAACATCCATCTCTTTGACCAAAGTTAGCACATTGATTAAATGTCTTTCTCTCAGAAACTGCTAGCCAGGTCTGCTACTATCAGGAAAAAAGTATTTGACAAGATCCATGGCCATATTCTTAATAGAAATGTAAATGCTGTTTGCTTGGGTGAATGTTTTACTGCCAAAAGAAAAAAACCTGCTAGAAATGAATAACCAGCTGTTCTTGGAGTATTTGAACAGTCATTTTAAAGATTATTATCTTTATTAAGCAGCAGAGAACCAGTCTCGGAGAAGTGAATGTTCTACTTAAAGGCTTTTTAAGATAAAAATATTTCTGCAGCACTTTTGCCCATGATCTGATTCCCAAACACATTGCAGCCATTGGCCTATTTCTTGATGCATTTATTTTCTGTGCATCATCTGCATAAAGCACCCAGCTCATTTGCAGTAAAGAGAGGTAGATGGCTGTTGCCTATAATTTACTCACTTTTCTTTTTTTCTTGTGCCTGAGATCTGAGAGACAGGTGGGGAGTGACTTTAAGTGGGACATTCTGGAAGATGGAGTTATTCTGTGGCATGTTGGGGAAGTAATAAAGCTTACCTTCACCGGCATATAAATGGGGACATAATAGAGACTCCTTCCTTACATGGTCACAAAAGATGCATTATAAAGGAAAATTTTGATTTGCTACCAAATGCTCTGTAAGGGAAGCATCTTTGAATTCTGAAGTGTCACCCAAAGGCTCATTTTGGTGTGCTGTAACATACGGTAATCTGTCATTTCACCGGTGTCTAATAGGATCAATACCTCAATGCTTCCAAGGGCCCAGTGGGCAACCAGTGAATGCAATGGGCCAGGTGGAGGTTTCAATAGTAGAGAGCCTATGCCCTTCCTCAAGGAGACAGGTGCTACTGACTCCAGCCAACTGTTTTCATGTAGGAATGCTAGCTATCAGTTACCCCCATTTTTTTTTTAAAGAGACCAATCACCTCAATTTGCGGGTGAAATCCCTTGAATTTTTTTTGTTTTTTAAATCTTTTGATTTTTAAAGGGGGGGTCAGCATAAAACATGTAAGCAAACACTTAAAAACACTGTATGGACCTAAACAAAGTCTATCTTCAAATCCAATGTGGCCTGTGGTCTACCAGTTCGTGACTTCTAGTGCAGGAACATACTCATTTATTTTGTAGGAGATCTGTCTCCGTGGCTTGGAGCCCTAATGTGTACTGCTAAGACTATCATGACTGCACCACCTGGGAAGTTGGGGTTAATGGTTGTGTTTCTGCATAATCAGGATCGGCTCTCCAGAACGAGGTGAACGCTGACCAGGAGGAGGGCCGTGCTAGCAGGACTGGTGAGGAAGTTCTCTTGAGGGGCCTGGAGTACACAGTAGAAGAATGTACCTGTGAAGACTGCGTCAATTCTGAATCAAAGGTCAACTCTGACCATTTCTTTCCACTTCCAGCTATGGAGGAAGGTGCAACCATTCTTGTCACCACGAAAACAAATGACTACTGTAACAGCCTGCTAGCTAGTATCACAGAGATGGAGAAACCCATTTTTACCAGATAATCAACCATTTCACCTGGTGTAGAGCTGCTTTGAAAATCCTATGTCAGAAGGATGAGGTATCAGATCTCTTTAGGATGATTGTACTTATTGGTTGCTGATAGAGCTTTTTGTCCTGTAATTCTAGAAAATCTTTGTTAGATGTACTTCCCTACCTTACTGTTGGGAGCTTAACTGTGGAAATTTCCTTGGTTTCATGATTAAATTCTTGACTCACTGAAGAAAAGCACTGCAGTGTGCAGAGCCCATAGTCCCATATTTCTATGGCTAGCTCCCTTCTCTCCTATACACACACACACGTTTCAAGCCAGATTGGATTTTTCTCTTTATTAATAATGGAAAGCAAGGTGATCCTATGTACTCCTGGATATAGGAGAAGCCTAGAGTCAGCCACACTAATTTAGTGTGCAATGCGTGAGGGCAAGGCTCCTGACCTTGTGAGCTTTCAGCTTAATGGAGACATCAGGCATTATTACGATCCCATAAATAAATGTGTAATTGCAAACTACGACACAGGTATAGTAGGTATCATTTTCAGACCCCAATGCAGGTAATAATAATGATGGCTAAAACTTAGCCTTACTAGGGGCGCTTGTGTGGCTCAGTCAGTTAAGCGTCTGGCTCTTGATTTCAGCTCAGGTTATGATCTCATGGGTCCTGGGATCAAGCCCCATGACTCAGGCTCTGTGCTCAGCAAGGAGTCTGCTTGAGATTCTCCATCTCTCTCTCTCCCTCTGCCCCTTTCCTTGCTCACACTCTTTCTCTTATTCTCTAGTAAATAAATAAATCTTTAAAAAAAAACAACAAAAAACTTAGCCTTACTAATGTGCCAGGATTGTTCTATATGCTTTACCTGTACTAACTCATTTAATGCATACAACAAATCACAAGGTAGGTGGACAATTATTACCTCCATTTTACAGATGATGGCAGAAACTGAGTCAGAGGAAGGTAACATAACCAGTAAATGGCAGAGCCAGGATTTAAACCCAGACATCCTGATTTATTTTTTTCTCTTCATGTCGATTTAAGTTCGAGTTCCCTAGCTCTTTGGGCTACAATCTTAGTCCTTATTGGGGGAGGGGTCCCTCCCTGGGGTTGTGCAAAGGTCCTGAGGTGTTATGGAAAGGTTATGCAACAGGTGATGATGCCCTCTGATAATATGTTGACTTTGATCATTGTTAAGATGCCCAGTGACAAAACAGCGTAGACCTCAAAGTCTTGGGGCTTTGTGGCTTTTGTGTCAGGTTTGGGATAAGGGGAAACTTGGTGAGCCCTTTTTACCCATTGGGGGCCATTCCAAGTTTCCATTCCAGGCCCTTGAGGACCACAGGAGACAATATAGTACAGTGGTTAAAGTACTGGCTCTTGGAGCCAGATTGCCTGGACTTGAATCCTGGCTCTGTTACTAGAAGTTACAGACTTCGGGTGACTGTGAAAGTTACTTAACCACTTGTGCCTCAGTTTCCCCATCTGTAAAATGGGAATAATAATAGTATCTACTTGTAAGTTGTTTTAAGGATTAAATGAAAACACACACACTTATTTGCATACATACATGTGCATGTATATATATATATATAAATTTTTTCATGAAAGTATCTGGTTTATAATAAATACTTTGAGTTACATTGCTGTAATGATTTTTATTAATCCGCTTGAATTGTAGTCTGAGAGCAGGCACACACTCTTTTCCTGTTCTACAGCTGTTGCAGGAACGGTATATGGAATACTGCTCCTAGCTTCTCACAGGCCCTCTTCCTCCCCAACCCCCCAACATCTCCTCAATGAGTTTAGTTTTTCAAGGCTGACAAGAGCTGTAGACTTTAGGCTCTTAATTCTTGGTCTTTGAGGACCAGGTGAAAATCTCTGAAAAAAGGAATTACAACGTTTCAATGGGGTGGTTTGGGATAGAATAGGTAAAGCATAAGCTCTGATGTCACTACTTAATCTGCCTCAAGTGCCATGAAGGAAAGGTACAGGGCGCTATGAGAAGGTAGAACATGTTATCCTGGTGACAACTCCATGAAGCAGGTATGTGATGCCTCACCAAGGGTTACAGAGGCAGGAGGAACCAAACTAGACTTTTGGGGGTGGGGGAGTTGAGGGGGTGGATTTAGGCACATAGACTCTTCAAAATTACAAATTCACAACAAATATAGAGTATAATTTGGGAAAATGGCAAAGACAGCCCCACCAACCAAACACACAAGTATTTTCATCTCTCCATTCTCTTAGTCCCTACACATGGTCATACTTTGACACGATTGTAATCATGGCATACAGACCATTTTGTATGGGGCTTTTTTTTAGTTAACTCATTTTCATTGGCCTTTCCCCATGTTTCCATCTTTATAATTAGCATTTTCAACTACTGCAAGAGATTCCTTGTGAAATGGGCCATGATTTGCTCAGCTATTCTTCTGCAGTTGGGCTTTGGTGCTTTCCACTCTTTCACTGTCATAAATAATGCTGCCCTACAGCCTTCTCCAAAGAGCTCTTGACTTCTGCTGAATCCAAAAGATAAATTCCTGGGGGCCGGAGGTTTTGTGTTGAGAGGCAGTGTAGTAGGAAGACCATGGAGCTGTGGGTCACACAGGACTGGGCTGGAATTCTGGCTCCATTTCCCTGTGGGACCTGTTCCTCATTTCAGTGTTTCAACTGTGGATCAATCAACTGTCTCAGTCAGCATAAAAAAAAAGAAAGAAAAATAGAAGAGAATACATTACCCATGGAATTGTTTTGTTAAACATCTCCTTAAACGTATGCATGTGTGTACTGGGTTGTGATGTAAAATGTATTTTTTTTTTACTCCGGGTTTTCAGGAAAGATGCCCTTTTAAACCTTTCTGGGTCCCCTTTCCCCCACGTATAAAATGGGACAGCAATCTGAGCTTCGTATTATGAACACGTGTTGGCACATCATCCATCCACCTTCATCTCCAGTGCCACCACGCTAACCCCAGACCTATTTCTTGCTGGGCAGCTGACTGCAATGGCTCCCTAAGCAGGTGCCCTTTCTCCACCCTGCCCCACTACAATTCATTCTGAACCCAGGAAGAGTAATCGTCTTAAGACCTAATTCAGATCGTGTCACTCCTCTGCGTAAATTCTTGCAATGGCTTCCCATTCCCTTATACCCTCCACCCTGCTCTCCTACCTCCTCTCTCTCACCCAACTTCTGGCTCCAGTCAAGCCCTGAGGCAGAGCGTTTGCACTCGCTGTTCTGGAACACCCTTCCTGCGCATCTTCTCGGGCCCGTCTCCCAGCCATGGTCCAGGTCTCAGCTCAAAGATCGTTTCCTTATGGGTGCCCTCCGGAGCTGCCCATGTCCAGGCAGGTTTTGGACCATTACCCTTTTTTATTTCCCTTCTCAGCTCCTACTGCTCTCTGGAACGGTGTTGGCTCATTTCTCCGGGCCTGTTCACTGTCTCCCCGACAGAGCTGTGGGCCCAAGAGGGCACAGAAACGTCCACTTCGGTCCCGCCGCAGCCAAGCACGCCGGGCGACTCTCGCACCTCGGTGCTTCCCAGCGAGGGTCTCTGACCCGCCAGGACCCCACTGCCTCGCTACGCCGCCGCGCCACCGCGCCGCCGCGCCGGCGCCCGTATTTACCTTCCGGGTCGGGGGGCGGGTCCGCGGCGGCGGAGCTCCACTTCCGGGGCGGGGCGGGCGGGCGGGGAGGTGCGCTGTCTCCCGGCCTGTCTGGAGCCCGGCGGCGGCAGTGGCGGCAGTGGTGGCGGCACGGCGCAGGCACCGGCTCGGGAGCGGCACCATGAGCGGTGAGTGGCGGCTTCGCCGCTGTCACCCTGCCCGGCTGCCCCGGCTCCCGCCGCTCCAGCTGCACACTCCGGCCCCCGAGTCCCCCGTCTCGCTCGCTCTCAGACCCCCGTCCGGTCTCTCGCAGACCCCGGTCCGCGCGGGAGCTGGCCCCTGGTCACCTGCACTTCTCTGGCGTCCCAAGTCCAGGCACTGCCAGTCCCCTGCCTCCTGTCCATCGCTTGCAACCAGCTCCTGGACACCTGTCCCCAGACCCCCAGCCTCTCCCAGTCCTCCGACTGCCTTGCCCAGTCACCGGTCCCTCCCCCCAGTGCTCAGACCTCCCGGCTCTCAGTCCCTCCTAACTCCGGGACCCCCCGCCCCCCAGTCCCACTTTCAGTTCCGGGCCCCCCTGCTCCGCAGTCATTCCCATTTCCCAGGCCCCTGTTGTGCAGTCGCTCCAGTCTCCACACGGGCATGGTGTCGTCTCTGGACACTGTTAGTTGGATGACCCCTGAACCGCGTGCCCCCCGTGGCTCTCGGTCCCCAGAGGACTGTGAGTTCTCCAGCCTCTTTGTCTTCCCCGCCCCTCCCCTTCCCTCGTGCCCTGTCCCCCGGTGCTTTGCTGTTCCAGTTACCAGTTGTTCCCAGTTACGCTCTCAGGGTCCCTCTCTGGTCCTTGCTTCTTACATTTTGGTCCTTTTTTTTTTTTTATACTCCCGCTCCTTTGAGTTCTTTTCCTAGCTCATTTGAGGTCTCCCTCGCCCTGTCAGCACCCCTTCCCTTCTTGTTCAGCACTGAACCCATCTGGGGACCATCGCGTTGCCCTTCTCAGCCCACCATCCCCCTCTCCCGCCCGTAGGGAGGGGTGTGGTTTTTGGTGGGGAGGCCGGGAGTGGGCGGGAGGTGGGTGTGGACAGCTTGTGCTCCGCGTTTCTGAAGTTTAGTCCCAAGACTTGGACGTGTATGCTCAGCCCTTCTCTGAAGCGATCTACTGGTGTTTTGGTGCTAAGTCATTCCTGGGTGTTGTGTGTGCAGAGGGACTCCGGGAAGCCTCGCAGTCCGCCCTGTCTGGGATCTGGATTTACTTAGGAGGACCCGCCTATCCTCACACTGCCTGTTTTCCTCTTACTGTGGAGTTGCCTCTGAAGAGTCCCTGCATCCAGCTATCTTGGCCCTAGCCTTTCACCCAGGCATTTCTGGAGGTTGAGGAGGAGGGGGGAGGGCAAGGTGAAGGGGCTGGGTCTCTCTTAATGTTTAACTCTTGAGTTATCTCCGTGGGTCATTTTTTTTTTTTTTTTTAAACAAGTCATGCGCCTTTTGTTTTGCTGTTCAAGAGCAAGATTTGTGAAATTGTTGGTTCTAATGACGGAGCTGGGAAGGGGGTTTCCTGGGAGATAGTCCGTACAGCTTCTGTTGTCAGAGCACATGACTTTTGGCCTCATTAAACTTCTGGTCCTTGAACATTAGTGATACTGCAACAAAGAGGTGATGAGCTGGTTTCCACCGAGCAGGTAGGTAGTACAGCCTGGTTTAAGTGCAGGCCCTGGAGCCAGACAGCCTGAGTTCAAATTCTGACTCTGCTCTATAAAGCTGTGTGTGTTTACGACCATTCTGAAGTCCCAGCAAAATGGGGGTAAATAATAGTACCTGGCACCTAGGCTTATTGCAGTGACTAAATAACTTTATTTAGGTGCTGTGCTTCTTAAATTGTATGTACATAGGAACTTAGACCAGTTGTTTCTATAAGGACCCAGCTGGGGTTCAAGTGGGGTTGTTTTCTGACCCAGTTCTGGGACAAGGGCTGGGGCTAAGTATGCCTTGAAAATATCTTGATTTTATTTTTTTAAATTATTTTTTATTTTATTTAAATTCAATTAATTAACATATAGTGTATTCTTAATTTCAGAGGTAGAGTTTAGTGATTGCATATCACACCCAGTGCTCATTCCATGAAGTGCCCTCCTTAATGCCCGTCACCCAGTTACCCCATCCCTTCACCCACCTTCCCGCTCCAGCAATCCTCAGTTTATTTCCTATAGTTGAAGAGTCTCTTAGGGAAAACCTCTTGCTTTTAATATGACCAAGGAGACTCTGCCTCAAGCTCAGGGTTCTGGACCATTCTCCTGCCTTGATCACAGGAACAGTGAAATTGACAAGCCAAGGGAAATTGGTCAATGTGTCCTTCAAGAACCAACTTAATATCAAAGATAACGAAGTTTTGAAATTTAATTTAAAAAATCATTACAAATGGAAACCAACAGATGGCTTTTTTAGGAAAAAGCGTTCAAGATGAAAGCCTTCTTTTGGAAAGATTGTAATTGAGGCCGAAAAAGTGGTTGCTGAGGACAGAAGGGAAGTCCAAGGTATTTCAATTTTTTCTTTCCCCAAGTTTTATTGAGAAATAATTAACATACATCACTATATAAGTTTAAGGTGAACAGCATGATTGACCTATGTTGTGAAATGATTACCACAAAAGGCTCAGCTAACATCCATCCTCTATGGATACAATAAAAAGAACAAAAAGAAAAGAATAAATTTTTTTTTTCTTTCTGATGAGACCTCTTAGGATTTACTCTCAACTCCTATATGTTGTACAGCAGTGTTAGTCATCATGTGACATCTCTAGTGCTTATTTATCTTATAACTTGGCAGTTTCTACCTTTTGAACCTCTTCCTCCAATTACCGCCTTCACGTGTCTTGAGAATACAGTTGAAACAAGGTCTTCCCACCCTTGGGATTGATGACCAGCATACAATAAAATAATGTTGCATGGAAGTATTTCCTCTCTTTCCTCTGTCCTTTTTTTCAATAGAAAATTTCAGACGTCTCCAAAGTGGAGAGAATAGTGTAGTGAGCATTTACCATCTCGTGACCATCCCCTATGTAGTCCACTATATAGCTATCTTTTTTACCTCTGTCCCCAGTTTCTTTTGAAGCAAATCCCAGACACTGAATCCTTTCATCTGTAAATATTTTAATATATATCTCTAAAAGATAGGGACTCTTTTAAAAAAAATAGCTCAATTTCATTATCATACAAGAACTGAGCAATAATTCATATCATCAGATATTAAATGTTCAAATTTCCATAATTGTCTTATAATTTTATAGTGTGTTTTTTAGACTCAGGATCTAAATAAGATTGAAACAATGCAAATTGGTTTTTTTTTTAAGTCTTTTAGTCCTCTCTTTAGTTTTAGTTTAATTGTTATTTTTTTAGCGTTTAGTATATTCACAGAGTTGTGCCCACATCACCATAATCAGTTTTAGAACATTTTCGTTTGTCCAAAAAGAAACCCGTGTACCTGTTAGCAGTGGTTCCTCATTCTCCCTCCCCTTAGCCCCAGGCAGCCACTAATCTACTCTATCTTGGGTTTTTACCTCTTTGGCATATTTCATATAGATCAAATCATACAACACGTAGGGTGCTTCTAAGCTGTATCATATTGTAGCATGTAGCTATATACTTCATTCCATTTTGTGTTTGAATACTGTTTCATTTTATGGATATTACACACTTTGTTTAACCATTTGTCAGTTGATGGACATTTGACTTGTTTCCACTTTTGGCTCCTCTGAATAATGCTGCTGTGAACATTCACTTATGAGTTTTTGTGTGGGCATGTGCTTTCATTTCTCCTGGGTCAATATCTGAGAGTAGAATTGCTGGCTCCGGGGCGCCTGGGTGGCTCAGATGGTTAAGCGTCTGCCTTCTGCCCAGGTCATGATCCCAGGGTCCTGGGATGAAGCCCTGCATCGTGCTCCCTGCTCCGCGGGGAATCTGCTTCTCCCCCTCCCTCTGCTTTCCCCCCTGCTCATGCTCTCTCTCTCTGTATCTCTGTGTCTCGAATGGATAAATAAAAAAAATCTATTAAAAAAATTGCTGGCTCCATTTGAACTGTCAGATTCTGCCAAAGTGGCCACACCGTTTTCCATTCCCACCAGCACTGTATGAAGTGTGAAGGTTCTGGTTTCTTCACATCCTTGTCAACAGTCTGATTATAGCCATTCTAGTGGGTGTGAAGTGGGATCTTTTTGTGGTTTTGATTTGCATTTCCCTAATGATCAATGACCCGGTCAGCATCTTTCCATGTGCTTATTGGCTCTTTGTGTATATCTTCTTTGTAGAAATGTTTGTTCAGATCCTTTGTCCATTTTTAAATTGGGTTTTTATTGTTGAGCTGTAAGAATTCTATATAATTTCTGGATACAAGTCCCTTAGATGTGTTACTTACAAAAATTTTCTCCCATTTTGTGTTTTTTTCCTCTTTCTTGCTTGTATCCTTTGAAGCACAAAACATTTTTTTTTAAACTAATAGGTTCCTCTTTTATCTCTCTCTTTTTACCCCTCACAATTTTTGTTGAAGGAAACAGTTCACCCTGGTTGTTACGGGATAGATTGTTTCTTTGTGGGATTTTGCTGACTGCATTCTTGTGGTGTGGTTTGACACGTTTCTCATTCTCTTGTATTTCCTATAAATTGGCAGTTGTAGCTGAAAATGTTTGAGTCAGAGGTCAGACGGTTTCAAGGCCAAGCGCATTAAGTGCAAATCCCCAGGAAGTGGAATGCCTAGGTAATGCATACGCGAGATAAATGAGTATCCTGAGGCCAGAAACAACTAGGATGACCATTAACAGGGGAGATAATGCATGTATGTGGTATGGTCACATGATGGAAAACCTCAAAGACGTTAAAAGGAATAAAATGGATTTATGCACATCACATAATGTTATCTCAACATTAACCTTCTCTAAAAAGAAGCAGAGTGCAGAATTATACTAAAATATATACCTTGCTGCACATTAAAACATGCATATGAAACAATGTTTGTGGATTTGTATATGTGTGTAGAAGTAAACAAATGGTCTGGAGGAAGGATACTTGCTACAAGTGGGTGGTTGTCTTAGGGTGATAGCAGTCATGATTTATTTGTTTCTCTTTAAAGAATCCAGTAGGTAGGAATACTTGATTTCCAGCCTCTCTAAGCAAAGGAATTACGAATTTCAGGTAATGCT